TTTATACTCTCTAATCTCCATATGAATGTGTGAGTCCTGGGTTTGCTGGAGGTTCTCACAGTCTGCAGCCAATGGGGGAGCTCGGATGGGACTAAAGGCCAGAGGACCGGCCACATGCTCAATGAAGTGTGTATTACTCAGGAAACAATGAGTCCATCTCTGGGCAGCAGGTGGAGGAGTGTCTAAAAGAGAGAGGTCTATGGGAAAGTGGAGACCTCAACATTATGGTTTTCATTGGTACATGGCACGTGGCACTACTACGTAAGGACTAGCACACACCAGCCCATGTTGTTCTATGAAACTAATCCATGCTGCGGTAGTGTGATATTTACCACCCCAAAGTGGATTATTTTCATATAACAGCACGGCCCATTTGTTTTCATGTTTTCATAAAAATATATTGTTTGGGTCTGTTATATTTTTTACCCACATAGATTATATAAAACTGTTTTGATTTCAGTTTTTAAAAAAATGGTTGCCTGAGACAGATTATAAAGCAACAGTGCTCAAGAATACTTAACAGTTCTCATAAATAAGATGTGGAATATCAATAATCAAAATGCCAGCTAACATGAGAAGGGGTGCAACTCTGTGTCTGGAAGTTCATATAACACCGTCACGTCCAGGGACTGAATTCATCATAGGAGTTGTTCCAATGACGAAGTGAGTCTCCAGAGGTAGGATTATTACAGAAATGTGTATTTTTAAGATATTTTTAAGATATTACTTGCTTTATCTCTAGGGCCTAGAGACAATCTAAGTGGCCACAGGTTCACTTGCCAGCGCAGGATCACGTACTGGCTTTGGCATTAGGCATGACAATGAGCCTAACGAGTCAAAATTTTAGGCTGTGAATGGAGTGACGACTGACTGAGACAGTTTGTTTGTTTGTTTTATTTTTTCCATTTGCAGTTTCAGACATTAATATTTGGTTCACCTGACATTATAAATCACTTTCTTGGCAGCACAGTAGCAAACAAAATATGAACAATTTGCTTTCAGTTTTAAATTAATGTTTTTGAAATGTTGAAATAAGTATGATGGTATAATTCAGATTTTTTGACTAAACTATATATTTAACTGAATATACTGTACTATATTCTTTATGTGGCTGTAACAAATTCTAAGAGACGTTGTATTCTCTATGGTGTGCCTGAAGGCTTTGTACTTTAACCACCCACTGTTATTCTGCTATTAGGTCAAATTACCATGCGGCCTATTTTACGCAGACATTATACGATTATACTGGTGTGTTATTGGTCTTAATATAAGATATATTTTCAAAAGCGTTAGCCATATCATCAGATGATTGCAAGTTGAATCCCAACGATATCTGTGACCGGAAATCCATTAATATCCTGTCAATCATACTGACACGATCCAACCATGGGAGCCTGTGAGCTAATGAATGCAGAAGAGAACAGAAAGCGCATTCCTCTGAGTGTGTTCAGCTGCCTTGTGACGTAGCATGAGTTTGAAAAGATGCAATGGCTGGCTTAATGTATCTTTGAGGAAGCACGTGTTAGCCTTCACCCTCCCCACATGGTAGTTGTCATGTGATAGCAGAGAGCTTGTTAGTGGGTGGGAATTCGCAAATGACTACATTCGGAGTTAATGGGGTGAAAATATAGTAGATGTTTTGAATATGAAGGAATACCATTTTCTAACTTAGTTTTTTTATTGTGATCTGTGTTCGATGATCAAAATAAAGGTTACTATAAATAGAGACGCAAATGGAAATTATTCATAAAGAGCAGTTTGATTGTATCATTTGATTTTATTTTGAGAACATATTGACACAATAATTTTGCATCTTATATAAGGTTACAAATAAGACAACATTTATGCCCTTCACTGAAGGCAAATTCAAGTTATTTCCAGGGTGGACAACTGCAGTCTCACAATTAACTCATTTAAAATTGCACACAGCTAATGTAGCTAAAGGAATAAAGCACATGCCAAACCATGTATTTTTCCAATCAACAAGAATTGTTGGCACCGGTGTATAGGACACACAGATATTTTACCTTAAATGGTTTAATATTATAGAAGAACAGTAATTTGTTCAAATAAAATCCCTAATATATGTATTTCATAAAGATATTTTCTCACACAGTAAGAATTATAATAGAAGAAGAAGCAAAAGCTTTCATCAAATGATATCAGACTTCAAACATTCTGCAAATGCAGAGACCTAATACCCAATATGGGCTTTCTTTATACATAAAGATTTTGGAAAATCCTTGAAAGATGCAGCAATTCTTCTTCGTTTCCAGAATATACAGTGATGGAAACATCTACACATGCTTTCCCACACTGAAAGCAACTTGTCATATTCTGTCCATGTAAAATTGGACAAAAATATTCCATCACACTGAGGAAAACAAATTTAATGCCAATGTGGCATTTGTACGCTGGTTTCCTAATGGTAAAGTGTCCATGTGGCTCTACCAGGGTCTCCAGAGGCCACTGCAGCCTGGAGTCTCCTCTTTGCTGCTGATCTGGCAGGCTGGAGAGCTGAGCTGAGGAACGACACTTCTGCTCTTCTCCATGGAAGGCTGCATGGTGAGGAAGTGGCTCAGCAGTCTTCTCTGGGACTGAGTGTGTACTTGACACTGAGACAGGAAGTTGATGACCTCCTGCACACACCTGCTGTAGCCTTCATCAGCTGCAGTGGAGCAGCTCCACTTCTTGTGTGACTGCTGCTGCTGCAGTCTCAGGAAATAAACTGTCATCTCCAGGATGTCGGCTTTCTCCTGTCTGGAATCAGGCTGTTGCTTTAGGAATTCTCCACCCAGCAGAGACTTGAGCTTCTCCATGCTGCTGTTGATGCGTTCTCTACGCATCTTCTCCACTATTGGCTTTCTCAGCTACAGACAGGACAGAAGTATTTGTTAAAACATGGTTTAACTAAATAAATATTCAAATGTTAATCAAATGAGAAATGAAATTGTACACAATATCATGGTTTAGTATATTTACCTTATTAGTAAGTGGAAGAAGGTGGTTGGAGTTGATCATTGATGCAGTGATTGTAGGAGCCATGGCTGTGGTTCTTCTGTTAGCTCTCTGTGAGGAGAAGATCTGAGCTGTGCTGAGCTCTCTCTCACTCCCTCCTCTATTTATACTCTCTAATCTCCATATGAATG